CATTGCCCTTAGACAGGACATCTCCACTGCCTCCAACCACCTCCTCACTGCTGCATTCACAACCCAAGCTTCACACCCATATAAGAGTGTTGGTACTACTATACTTTCATACATTCCTTTCTTTGCCTCCATAGATAACGTTTTTTGACCCCACATATACCTCAACGCACCACTCACCTTTTTTCCTTCATCAATTCTATGATTAACCTCATCCTTCATAAATCCATCCACTGACACGTCAACTCCCAACTATCTGAAAACATTCACTTCTTCCATACTCCTCCTCCCCAATTTGATATCCAATTTTTCTTTATCTAAATCATTTGATACCCTCATCACCTTACTCTTTTCTATGTTCACTTTCAACTTTCTACCTTTACACACACTCCCAAACTCATCCACTAACATTTGCAATTTTTCTTTAGAATCTCCCATAAGCACAGTATCATCAGCAAAAAGTAACTGTGTCAATTCCCATTTTGTATATGATTTCCCATAATTTAATCCCACCCCTCTCCCGAACACCCTAGCATTTACTTCTTTTACAACCCCATCTATAAATATATTAAACAACCATGGTGACATTACACATCCCTGTCTAAGACCTACTTTTACTGGGAAGTAGTCTCCCTCTCTTCTACACACCCTAACCTGAGCCTCACTATCCTCATAAAAACTCTTTACAGCATTTAGTAACTTACCACCTATTCCATATACTTATTACATCTGCCACATTGCTCCCCTATCCACTCTATCATATGCCTTTTCTAAATCCATAAATGCAATAAAAACTTCCCTACCTTTATCTAAATACTGTTCACATATATGTTTCAATGTTAACACTTGATCTACACATACCCTACCCACTCTGAAACCTCCTTGCTCATCTGCAATCCTACATTCTGCCTTACCTCTAATTCTTTCAATTATAACCCTACCGTACACTTTTCCTGGTATACTCAGTAAACTTATTCCTCTATAATTTTTACAATCTCTTTTGTCCCCTTTCCCTTTATATAAAGGGACTATACATGCTCTCCACTAATCCCTAGGTACCTTCCCCTCTTTCATACATTTATTAAACAAAAGTACCAACCACTCCAACACTATATCCCCCCCCTGCTTTTAACATTTCTGTCATGATCCCATCAGTTCCAGTTGCTTTACCACCTCTCATTCTATGTAATGCCTCACGTACCTCCCCCACACTTACATTCTGCTCTTCTTCACTCCTAAAAGATGGTTTACCTCCCTGGCCAGTTCATGAAATTACTGCCTCCCTTTCTTCCTCAACATTTAAAAGTTCCTCAAAATATTCTCGCCATCTACCTAATACCTCCCTCTCCCTATCTACTAACTCCCCTACTCCATTTTTAACTGACAAATCCATATGTTACCTAGGCTTTCTTAACTTGTTTAACTCGCTCCATATTTTTTTCTTATTTTCATTAAAATTTCTTGACAGTGCCTCTCCCACTCTATCATCTGCTTTCCTTTTGCACTCTCTCACCACTTTCTTCACCTTTCTTTTAGTCTCCATATACTCTGCTCTTCTTATAACACTTCTGCTTTATAAAAACCTCTCATAAGCTAACTTTTTCTCTTTTATCACACCCTTTACTTCATCATTCCACCAATCACTCCTCTTTCCTCCTGCCCCCACCTACTTGTTGTTGCCACCTTCCTCTTGGCCCATCTACCTCTTACTCTAAGTGTAGCTACAACTAAATACAGTGTAATGATCCGATATATCAGTTGCCCCTCTATAAACATGTACATCCTGGAGCCTACCCATTAACCTTTTATCCACCAATACATAATCTAACAAACTACTTCATTACGTGCTACATCATACCTTGTATATTTATTTATCCTCTTTTTCATAAAATATGTATTACTTATTACCAAATCTCTTTCTATACATAGCTCAATTAAAGGCTCCCCATTTACATTTACCCCTGGCACCCCAAATTTACCTACTACTCCCTCCACAACATTTTTACCCACTTCAGCACTGAAATCCCAAACCACAAGTACTCTCACACTTGGTTCAAAACTCCCCACGCATTCACTCAACATTTCCTAAAATCTCTCTCTCTCCTCTACACTTCTCTCTTCTCCAGGTGCATATATGCTTACTATACCCTCTAGGCTCTTAATTCTGCCAATCGATAAAATCATCTTATTTCTCAATATTAACCAAATCTGCCATAACATCTGCTAATTAGTCTTATCATGTGACCTCCTGGCTTTTAATTCTGCCATAAAATATTACCACCTACACCATTACTTGTAAGTCAGATTTTGTACTAAGTTCAAATAAGATTGTAAAACAGCTAACCACTATTCCACTTTACTACCTCTCACTTGTATTAAGTTTAAATAAGTTTGTAAAAAAGTTAACCACTACTTCTTGTCTAGTTTTAAGTATAGTTACTATGTACTATTATCTTATCTAGTTTTAATTAGTTACTATGTATTAGGATCAGTTTGCCCGAAATGCCTCAGCATGATAGTGGCTATCTTTGTACTTAGTAAATCAAAATTGTAATTACACATTGTAACCTTTACAAAGAAATAAACTTTATTATTATTATTATTATTATTATTATTATTATTATTATTATTATTATTATTATTATTATTATTATCCTTTGCAATCAACTCAATCTGAAGAGAAACTCCATGAAAATAAAAAGCTGAAAAATATTGAACTCTTTACCAGAAGATTTTAGAAGTTCCTTATCTGCCAAGTGTCTCAAAATATTGTTAGAAGCACTTCCTGAATTGGATACAAATTTACAAACCTTAAATATAAATGTCAAATATAATATATTTAATGCAATCTGCTTATTTAACCCTTTCAGGGTCCAAGGGCCAAATTTCAAAGTGCACACCAGTGTCCAAGAATTTTCAATAAATAATTTAATTTTTTCTACTGAAATGGTAGAGAATCTTTTTCTGAAAGTACGAAATTTGATGGAAAATTGACAAAATTATGCTCTTGCGAATTTTGATGTGTCAGTGATATTTACGCATCGGCGATTTTCCCGACTTTGACTCCCATTTTAGGCCAATTATATTACTCCTGTCAACCAAATTCTTAGCTATTTTACTAGTATTACTTCTGTTCTATTGACTGAGCACAAGAAATTGCCAATTCAACTGTTTCAACTACAAAATAAAGTGATTGGAAATTGGTAATTTGGCCAATTTAATGCAAAGTTCAAAATATTCTAATTTCAAAATAGGGTCCAGAATAAACAATGTAGGCATTCCTGGAACTAAACTAACATTTTATCTGTTCATTAGTTATGTTTTCAGGCTTTACAAATGAATTCCATTTTGATTTTTTTATTCACATAATGAATTTTTATTCAAACCAAAAAATAGAAGATTTACAGTTATGCAATACTGTAATAATTGCATAAATAATATCATCACATTTGTGAACGTATATTAGACCCACCACCTGGCGTGTATTAGACGTGTGGGATCATTTGTTTATTCTTGAACATCGGCAAAAATTTAACATTTCTGCTATTTTGAACTCAGTTTCAACCCATTTCCATTACTAAAAACAATCAAAATCATCTCTATTTCTGTAATATAACTTCCATTCTATGAAATGAGATGAAGAAATCGCAAATACAACTATAAAAAAACATACGAAAAAACACTGCAAAGTCGCTGTTTTAATCGAAAATTACGGTCACATTTTTTTTTCTCTCATTATGCACTGTGCTGCAGGATTTGTTTTATGTGGTGCACACATACCACACAGATGTATTCTCTCATATCTAGGCCCAAATTTACCGCTCACAGCTTATCAGAGTGAGCTGAGCTCATGGTGTAGATCTACCGTTTGGACCCTCAATGTACATATAGCCATAGATCTACAGCACAGACCCTCAAAGGGTTAAGCCATCAACTTAACTTTCCTCACCTGACTTCTCACATCCAATCACTATTCATGCTCATGTACTTATTGTCATCATTATATTTCTACCTCCAATAATTATTATAACTAAAACTGTCATTTCAATTTTGATTTACTATCTTTTCAAATTAACACTGATATTTTAATATATAGGCATTACTTAATTTTTTGGTAGTCACTCACTGAGGCAGACTGACCCAAAAAAGAAACACGTGTACCATCATTCACACTATCACTGTCTTGCCACAGGTGCGCAGATATGACAGTTTAGATGTCCCTCCAAAGAGCAAATATCCTATGCTTAATTATATTAAAACTTATATTCAAATACTATAAGCTAACTTCAACTATATAATTTTCAGCATGTTTAAGTTCTAATTTTAGTCCACTCGAAGTGTTCTGTATGACTAGGGGCTTTTCAAAATGTGTGAAATAAAAGTCACCTAATTTTGTAACAATATATGTACATTTTTCTCCATGGGGAAGTGGAACAGTATTCTTCCTCCGTAAGCCATGCGTGTTGTAAGAGGCGACTAAAATGCCGGGAGCAAGGGGCTAGTAACCTCTTCTCCTGTATATATTACTAAACGTAAAAGGAGAAACTTTCGTTTTTCCTTTTGGGCCACCCCGCCTCGGTGGGATATGGCCGGTGTGTTGAAAGAAGAATATGTACATTTTGAAAATAAAATCCTTTCATGGGAGATGGCCAATGCACAGTAATATGTACAAAAAAAAATCAATTGTTATAAGCTTTCAGTCAGAGTGAAGTGGCATGTTCAGGATATCATCCAAAAATTAAGCAATGAAGAAAACAGGGCATCACTAAGAAGAAAATTACTATACCCTGCCAGGAACAATTCACAACTAACCCACAAATTAGAGAAAACTGAAGATGCTTTGACTGATCCCTGATAACTATTAAGTTGCAAGTAACTTGCAACTAGTTTCCTCTCAAATTTGTGAGTTAATTGTAAAAAGGAGAATTAGCATATTTCTACCAGGCAATCTAAAGAAAGGCTTATGCTACATTAGTTTGCTTAACAGCATTATGAGAACACACCTGGGCAATTTTCTTCATCTGAGTAGTCAGAGCACTGGATTACTCTGTCACACCGCTGAGATTCTTGTATGCAATACTTGTTCTTGCACTGCCATTCCCCTGGCCGACATTCTAGCAAAGCAGATTAGCACATCAAATACTCATGCACAGCATGCATATAATGTTAGTTGATAGCAAACCACAAAATAAACATGCTTTACCAAAGACTGTTCTATCTAAATAAAAAAATTATGGTAATCAAGAATCTGAACTGACTAGCCAGTTACCTGTACCTTGTAAAGTAAAAGGACACAAGTGCAACTAATGTGACATTTTATTGTGGCAATGTTTCGCTCTCCAGGAGCTTTATCAAGCCATTACAAACAATATGGACACAGAGGGTATATATGTTACCCAAGTGATAGCTTTTTTATCCTTTTACTCATATACGAATTAATTGCTCTACCATACTGTTTTACTACTTCTACTACTACTACTACTACTACTACTACTACCACTAGTATTGCACCTCACTCTGAGCCTATATATACCCTCTGTGTCCATATATTGTTTGTAATGGCTTGATAAAGCCCCTGGAAAGCGAAATGTTGCCACAATAAAATGTCACATTAGTTGCACTTGTGTCCTTTTACTTTACATATTGTCGGTAATTCTACCAACTTTATTACTACCTGTACCTTGGCATTAGTTTCTGAATAACATTTTAATAAATATTTAGATACATCAAGGCCATTCATGGTCTTTCTCCTTGTCTGATGCAAACATTTACCTACTCCTCATCTTAAAAATCACTTTCCTCCTCCTCCTCCTCCTCATCCTCCTCTTCTCCTTCACATCACCTAGCACTTTCTCTGCTCATATGTTAATAATGGTCACTTTCCTCCTCCTCCTCCTTGCATTTTTCAGAATTGAAAATCATCAATTATTTATTGGTGCATTACTGCAGCCACTCTTTGTCTTTCTACAGCTGACTCTGTTTGCAGAGAAGGAGCTCCTGTTCTTGGACCCAATCATTTTAACACTAACTAGATTCATTTAAGGAGTTTGCCTACACTAAATCCTACCATACTGTATCCACTACCCTAATCTTGAAGAAACTCTTCCTTATACATCTGTGTTTCAGCAATAACAATTATCTTATATTTTTTATAAGTGGACACAGATATTACAATAAGGTGGTTTGTAGTTTTGGTGTCTAGTTAGCATTTGTTGACCTAGATCAATCAGGAACCTCTACAATCACTGGAGATGTTAAAAAGCACAGAGGAATCTTGTTAGGACAAACTGTATTCTAAACAAAAATTATTGCAATTTCAGTTTTGTAAAAAAAATAAAATTTATTAATTACTAAGTAGCAACATTTTTATGTTTACTTTTTCACATGAAATTTATTTTTTTAATATTTATGTCTATAGCCCTTTAATGTAGTATTTATATAAAAGCATTATGAGGCAGCCATTAATAACTTCACAACAGCAGTAGCAAACATTGACTGGCACACTGAGCTAGAAATCTATACAGATATTGACGAATGTATTAATAATTTTCTAAAAAAGACCCAATACCTCTATAATAAGCACTGCCCTAAAAAAACTAAACAGATGACAGCTAAGAGACTGAACAGTCCCTGGTTAACACCCAGCATTCTCAAATCCATAAATACAAAACACCAATATGAAAAACAGTACAGAATGGGTCACATAACCAGAGACCAAACAAAACGTTACTCGTCAATCCTAACCAGCCTGATAAGAAGGGCAAAAAAATTGTATTATGAGAACAGATTATCCAACTTACGAGGTGATATAAAAAAGACCTGGAAAACCCTATCAGAAATTCTGGGAACAAAAAAGATATCACGAAATAGCGAAATAAAATTAGCAAAATCAGATGAACCTCAACTCCCACCAACAGAAACAGCAAACAGACTCAATGATTTCTTCTCCACTATAGGACAAAACCTTGCCAATAAAATCCCAAGCTCAGGTACCCCACCAAATGACTACCTCACCGGCAACTACCCGACACACTGTTCCTAGCTCCGACTAACCCATACGAAGTCTCCCTTATTATCAATGCACTAAAAAACAAGGCAGGAGATTTAAATACCTTACCACCCTTTATATACAAAAAAGTGTCACAAGTGCTATCACCAATCATTGCAACACTCTTTAACAAATCCATTGAATCCTCCACCTTCCCTACAGTACTCAAAATAGCAAGGGTCACCCCGATCCACAAAGGAGGAGACCAAACAGAGTTGAATAACTATAGGCCAATATCCAACTTACACCCTCTCTCAAAAATCTTCGAAAAATTAATTAATAAACGAATCTACTCCTACCTTATCTCCCAAAACATACTCAACCCCTGCCAATTTGGATTCAGGCCTAATAAAAATACTAATGATGCTATTGTACACATGCTAGAACATATATACATTGCAATAGAGAAAAAAGAAGTCCCACTGGGGATCTTCATTGACTTACGTAAAGCTTTTGATACAGTTGACCATGACTTGCTCCACGTAAAATTGTCACACTATGGTATAAGAGGGCACTCCCTCAACTACCTCAAGTCATACCTCAGCAACAGAAGCCAATATGTGTAGGCAAATGGGGCAAACTCTTCTGCACAACCAATTACAGTTGGTGTCCCACAGGGAAGTGTCCTTGGCCCTCTTCTCTTTCTCCTATACATAAATGACCTACCAAATGCTTCGCAATTACTCAAACCCACACTATTTGCAGATGACACTACATACGTTTTCTCCCACTCGAGCCCAGTCACGCTAGCCAATACTGTAAATACCGAATTACAGAAAATATCTACCTGAATGAGGACTAACAAACTTACACTAAACATTGACAAAACCTACTTCATTCAGTTTGGTAACAGAGCTACAGATGTCCCTCTTAACATAATGATAAACGGATCACCTATCACAAAGCTAACAGAGGGAAAATTCTTAGGAATCCACCTTGATAATAGACTCAAATTTCATACACATATACAACAAATTTCTAAAAAAATTTCCAAGACTGTAGGCATACTATCGAAGATACGGTACTATGCTCCACAGTCAGCCCTCCTGGCCCTATATCACTCACTTATTTACCCCTATCTCACCTATGGAATTTGTGCATGGGGCTCAACAACAATTAACCATCTCAGACCACTAATTACCCAACAAAAGGCTGCAGTTAGAATGATAACAAATTCTCACTACAGGCAGCACACTCCACCAATATTCAATACACTAAACCTACTCACCATACAAAACATCCATACTTATTACTGCACCTATTACATACATAGAACACTTAACTCTGATATTAACCCTCCCCTCAAACATCTCCTTGCCAACCTCAACAGAACACATGACCATAACACAAGGCACAGATCACTCTTTGATGTTCCTCGTGTCCATCTCACACTATGCAAAAACTCAATGCACATAAAAGGCCCTAAAATCTGGAATTCATTACCTGTAAATATAAAAGAAACACTACCTGTTTATAAATTCAAGTCTCTTCTCAAAGATCACTTACTCACCCAAAACCAAATAAATACTGAATAACTCAACCTTATAAATTGTATATCTTAAATGTTTCTCACAATTATATCACATAAATGTTAAACCTAAAACCCAATCTAACTTTACTATTTTTTTAAATAAACTACCTAACAGAATTCTCCATACGACTGAATGTACAATAATGCATGCAACCATATGACCTGTCTTTGTAATACTCACTTGTACTTTATAGTAATTTGTTTACATTAATGTTTTATCACTGATTTCATCATTGCTTAGTTAATCTTAAGTTAATTTTAAGCCAGCCCGTAATGCTATGCATAGTATAAGTGGCTTTGGCATGCTGCTCTTATCTGTATTTTTTTTTTTGTACCTCTGTATGTGTGCTCAAATTGTAATAAATAAATAAATAAATAAATAAATAAATAAATAATATGAGAAATATATGTACAGCTATTTACTACTTATATTAGTTTTTTACATTAGTTTTTTACATGTGATTTTGAAAAATTATGTTTAGGGGCAAACTGGATGTGACTGCTCAGTAGATTTAATAATTAAAAAACAGCAGCTAAGGCATACCGTATTAAATAACAGTCATCATAGCTATGTTCAAGCTTTTCCAATAAAAAAAATTTACCCATTTCCTTACGTCATAAATTATTTTATCAATTCTAAAACATTATCTAGGACAGTAATTCATAACTTTTAAAATTACATTAATTACATACCACTTTTCATTTTAATAAAAAAATAGTACTAATATAAATTTGATACAAAAGTCAACATTTTATTTTTGATCACTTATTTTTCATGCAATGAGGCTGAATCTCCATAATTAAAATGAAATAATATGGCCTTACTGCACTAAACTAGTGGCTTAATTCTTTTTTTCCCTACATTAAAATATAACATAAAAAAGCAGTCCTTGCTCTAGTTCACAAAGAAAAAAGACAAGCTCTACTAACAATCATGAAGTCTATTTTCAATGAAAGTAAAAGAAAAGAATTCAGTTTACATGCCACTTTTCAAACAAGTCGTCTTTTTCATCAATTTCTGTTTCAATGAAGTGGTAGATGATCCCACCAATCTCCCTCCTGCTCACATTTTTGAAGAATAAAAAGGCACAATACTGTGACTAGAACAATACACAAATAACCAGCATATGGGCGACATATTCATGATGATCTTTCATTTGGACGTGGACCATTAACTAGTTAATGGTATAAGACAGACAAAAATATCGTCAAAAGTTTGTCTCCTATGTGCGGGGTTATATGTGCATTGTAACAACATTCATTCAAATATCAACACAAGAACATGCGAAATCTGAATATTAAAAAACTTTTTTAATTAAATACAGCTGAACCTCTGGTCACAACCATAATTCATTCCAAAACTTTGGTCGTGACCTGATTTGGTTGTGACCCGAACCTAATTTCCCCATTGGATTGTACGTAAATAAGATTAATCCGTTCCAGACCCCTACGAATTGTGTGTAAATATTTTTTTTTTTAAGATTTTTAAGCACAAAAATAGTTATTTATACCAAAGAATGCACAGTGTAATAGTA